ATTCAGCCCAGGAGGAGGAGAAGAGGAGGATCGGAGGAGGAGAGCTCCCCGCCCAGCGCTGGAAAAAGGTAAGTTTTAACCCCTTTCCCGAGCCGGGCGGGAGGGGGACCCTGAGGTTGGGGGCACCCTCAGAGCACTATAGTGCCAGGAAAACGAGTATGTTTTCCTGGCACTATAGTGGTCCTTTAAAAATTACAAGGAAACAGCAACATAGTGTAACACTGTAAAATGTATGGAAACCCTCTTTCATCCACCCAAATAGGTACTCTTACTATATATAGTTGTGGTACTGGTTTCCAAGTCTCACTAAAATAGCACAGGGTACATTCAAGCCAGTGGTACAGTCAAGATGTTACCAGTTCTGTCGTATGGAGGTGCAGACTGCTCAGTGCATTCGAGCCGACTTTCAGCACTACTAATCTGGAAGAACGCTGACTTTCCTTCCCGCTTGGAGATGACCCTCGTGGATAAAAACAAGATAGTAAAAAACTTGTTCGGCACTATCTACGCGTTTCGCCCATCTGCTGTGGGCTTTCTCAAAATAGGTGCCACGGACAATTTTCAGTGTCTTTATACCCTGCTCTCGAGATGGAAGCACAGGATTTCTTAAAGGTACAGACTAAAATACACATACAACTTTCAGAAGGCTGAAATGTCTTTTCAGATCACATTTTCTAGCACATTAAAACGATACATTTTTGTGTTAATAAAACAATTCTTAAAAGGTTCTCATTATTAGATTACATTCCTTGAGACATAAAATTGAAAACTGAATTTGTGATTTGATGGATAAAAGGCTTTAGGGATGCATATAGCTTTTAATTTGGCTGAAAAAAGAAGTATGTATATCTTGCAGTTCGTGGTAGGTGTTACCAATAACTCATCATAGAAAATAGAGTTATATAATAGTTATCACCCCAATCTAAACCGTTTTTTTTGTCAATATCAAATTGTTGAGACCATGGAGGGTTATAGTGGAAAGAGGTGTGTGACAAGAATAGAGGGAGCGTATCAAATAAACGGCAAATCAAAGTGTGTCAAATGAAACAGCTTTACATTCTATCCTAAATTATGCTGAAAGAGAACCTAAGGTTCTTAGAAATTACTTAGTATATTTTGGTCACAAAACGTATTCTTATCTACATCAAAAATTTCTGATAGAATTGAAGAATTGGGGGGGGTAATTTTCACTGACAATGTGCAAGATCATGAGAGTTTATAGACAAAACATATAATATAGTAAATATTGACTGAAACTACTTTTTTAGTGTAATTTTTTTAATTGAATTATGTATCATAAAACATTTAACATAAATAGACATACAACAAAAAATAATGATGATTCATTCTGGAATCAAGCATCACAATAATCATACCATAAACACAGATGGATACCACATTACACTTATAACCATTATGCATATTGTTGTTATAGTCACATTCGTATCTATACAATAATACAAGTTACTTGTATAAAATAACCATAATACTAAGGACTTATAGATTTACATTTTCCTTATTTCCTGTTTTTAAATCCCTTTTTTTTTTGTTTCT